GTTCATACATCTGGATTAAAAAAAAATTTGGTTTCTACTCTGAACATGATTTTACTAAGATTTCTAGAAGAAACACCATGACACAAAGCTTACTTCACAATGTTGCAAGCGTGAAACTACCCCTGTGGGAAAACAAGTTGCATGCATCTATAATACCTGCCAGATTTAAGTGTGCTCTCATAGGAAAACTCCACAGTTTCTGATTGCACTGAAGATAATTTTCTAAAATATCCAGTAGATATTATAGAAAAAAAGAGATTACTGCCATTACCTTTTGGTAGTAACCTACATCTGAACTCCATTTTGCTGTTGTCTTAGGAAATATTTACCTTATTACTATTTTAGGTGGATTCTTTTTTTTCCACTGTGCAATTCAAAGCCTCATACCTCAGAAATCTCACTCAATTTCACCATGAGCCACGTTCTTTGGATAAAGGTAATTTGGTAGGCATTCATAGACATGCTATGTTGTTTGCTGTAACAAAAACCTGCTTTCATAGAATCACAGAAGGGCCATGGTTGGAAGGGTCCCCTGGAGATCATCTTATCCAACCTCCCAGCTCAAGCAGGGTCATCTAGAGCACATTGCCCAGTATCACATCCAAGTGGGTTTTGAATATCTCCAGGGAAGGAGACTCCAAAACCTCCCTTGGTAACCTGTCCAAGTGCTTAGTCACTCATGTTGTACTTCATACAGTCCTGTCAACTCCAATCATCCTAAAAAATAAATCAGTTCCCCTCACACGTCCATCCTTGACAAAGACCACACTTTCACTGCTCGGTAAAGATTATTGCGTTGTTTCACATCTGTGTTCCTGTGTTCCACTCACTTAGCTTCACTTTTAGCCTGGTTCCCTTCCCCAAGATAGACCTGTTTTTAGGGCACAGTGGTAACTAGGAAGACTTCAACTTTGGGGGGAAAGTAAAACCACCCAGACTGCTCTACAGAGCAACTACCACTGTTCTTTTCTAAGCTAGATTCTAGCCTCGCCCATATCTAGTCCAGCTTGAACTCAGAAAGGAGACCGCTCACCTAGGGTCACGAGAAGTTTGGTTCCACTCCCCCACGTGAGTTTTCCCCATGCGCCAGAACTAGCACTCTGTGACAGGCCTCTACAAAATGTGCCTCTCCCTTCGGCCCGGTGGGTCTCAGAAGATAAGCGACATGGAAGAGGCATGGGATAAAACTGCCAGCCATGTATCTGTCTCTGAGAGAAGCTGTTAACGCCTGTAAACATTTCCACAGATTTTCTCCAGCCACTAGCTGTAAAATGTCTTTTCCCACGTTCAGATTCGTGGGAATAACTACATACGACTAGAGTCACCTCAGGTATCAGACATGGGAAGAACCTACTCCTTACAGTGAGTTAGCAGTGAACACTCCGTACAGCTTGCTTTGCTACATCCCTGCAATTAGTCATTGCTCTCTACTTCCCAACAGGAGGCTCTTCCCACTGAACACGCTTTCCTTTCTCGTTGTCCTTTGTCCTTTCTGATTTGTTTCTCATTGTTTCCCTTGCTCCTGAACAGCATTCAGCGGGTTTAGTACGCTCTGATGATTATTTACCTAGCTGTTCACCAGGGCTGAGGACGCTGAACCCCAGGGGAAAGAGCCAGGAGCTCTACCAGGTCACTGAACACCAGAAGAGTTTCCAGACGAATTGTGAAAATACCCCATTAGAAGCAAGGTTTTTTTTAGCAAATAATCCCGTGTAATAATCCTGGACGTGATCCCAGCTCCTCCGGTCCCCCTTCCCTTCTTTGTCCACTAAAATACGAGAGCCTAAATACTCACTGGGTTTTATGGACAATTTTGCATCTTTATTAGCATGCATAGCCTTTCCTCAGCATTTTGAAGGGCAGCCACCCCAAGCTGTGCTAGACAGAGCAAACTGACCTGCCCCGCGTTACACAGGGACAGTCATGGCACAAGAGGTCTGTTCCTGAGCAGGAAGGCTTAAGACCTGGGTCTTCTAAAGCGAAAGGAAGGAAGCAGGTAACAGAAAGCAGTGAATAAACGAGAGTGTACCTCAGCAGCCCTTGCTTGAAATTCATGCTATAGATCATTACTGTTAACCAAAAAAAAAAAAAAAAAAAGAGAGAGAAAAGAAAAAGAAGAAAGGGTCGATGTCTGTATCTCCCTTTTCTACAAAATGGAGTGGAAAAAGCCTTTAAAACTTACTTGGTCTTATCCTCAAGCGAGTTCCTCCCCCAAAGATGGCTTTGTTTCCATAACTGTTCACACAGTATTTGCCCTCACAGCAAAAACCCTGTAAGTCATGTCTCCCCTCCACTGCCGTGTTGCCTCCAAAGCTGAGGGCCTGGCTCTCGTGGCGTTCCTTTTAAGACGGTCTTCCCCAGCTAACCCTTTGGGAACTCTAGCTTGGACTTCCCCTAAAGGTTTTCCTCGTTGGCGATGTCTTCCAGCTTTGACGGAGAGGACCACTGATTGCACGTGTTTGCAAACAGTGTGACCGCAGAAAAGCTGGCCTTGGTGGCTTTCCCGGTTGCTGCATGGGAACACATTAAAACTCCTTTCCCTTTCCCATTCGAAGAAAAGGGCGGGGGGCGGGGGGCAGTATCGCAGCTTAGAAGCTTAACAAATGCTCTTTTGGCAGGCTGATAACTCATTTCAAAAAACACTGATCAGTCATACGGACCCAGCTACCTAGGAACCTTGATAAGGCAAGGCCATCACCTCTCCGCAGAGCAGCTTGAAAGACAGGTAACGAGCTCTTGCTTCGCGGAGTGACCACTTACTCTTCCCAAGTGGGCTACCAGCAGCTCCTTGTTCCTCCCCGAGATTTCAGACAACTACCTCGGCATTATCACAGAGGTACTCACTGAGTTGCACAGAAAGTCTGGTTCCATGTCCAAAGGTGAGCGTGCCAAGACCTCCCCCTGTAAATTGCCACAGCCACACACAGCCTTACAACAACCCTACAGCTAGCAGAAAGGAACCGTTCTCGTCTTCTGAGGAGGCTGGCATGTGTCTTTCCCTGCTGAGTAGAGAAAAAGTGACAAAGGACAGAATCAAAGCATTCACTCCTGCTCTACAACTGCATCCTTCTCCGGAGACCGGCCTAGTACACAGCTTCTCGTCACCACACCGTGGCCTTGTCCAGAAAGACTGCGGTGCTGCATTAGCACCCCTGCAGGAGCCTCCCCACTCTGCTCAGCATACGTATGTTGAGATGTTTGCATTCCTCTCAATCCCACCACGTTTTTGTAAAGGTGTCTTTCTAAAAATGCCTTTGTCAATAGCTTCGTCCCCTTTCCAAAGGCAAGCTTACTGCCCTATCCCCACTGTTCCCACAGCTGCTCGCAGCTTTGCGGTACGCCAAGAAAAGGCACAGGGTTGTGCACGCTCGGAGGAAGACTTTCGAACATTCGCTCTCCCACATTATTGTTATGGATATTTTTGCGTTGCCCTGCAGGGATCAAAAAGATGGCTTTTACAGTACTTACAAGGGTCTACAGTCAGCTCTGTGCCGGCTCCAAAGGTGTACCTGTAGCCGCTGTTACTCACAGCAACAAAGGCCATTACACAAACTGTCTCACCCACCCACCAACACCCCCCGCCCCCATAACAAGGAAGGCTTCTAGCGCAGCTGACAGAGGAGCTTCCCAGCAAGGCAGAGGCAGAGGTTGCCTGTTTCAAACAAACACACCGACCTCAGAGGTGTAGGCTTGCTCTCTACAATCTAAAAATCATTAAATACAACACCAAAGGTATTTTATTTCAGGGACCTGGAGCATGAGAGAAGAGCTTTCCAGTCTCTAAAGGCCATTTGGCTAGTTTGCGGGAACGTCACGTGCAGCTCCGTAGACCGGCTGAACTGTACCAGCTCATTGCCTGGTGTTATATGGCTGAAATACAGGGCGACTGGAAAGGAGAGGGGACGACTGCTTCCCAGAGATGGGCAGTCTATTGATTTGGGAAATCCTGCCTTTGGCAAAACAGGCTCTCCCTGCAAGGATTCCCAGCACACTTCTACTCAGTCTCAGCAGGCGACTGCATTTAAAGGCATGCACAGGTGCCATGCGCGCAGTCCTCCACCACTCTTCAGCACAACTCGGCAGAATACCTTCAGGGTTCTCAGGCATGCTGGTCCAAGCCACCTCTTTAAGAGTGCCTAAGAAGTTCCACAGCAGCCACTTGTGACATTCTCAGCCAGCCTCAGCGAGGTTAGGACTCAAAATAGCGTGCCTCAAGCTTGAGCACTCTCCCCAGTTCAGATCTGCCAAGGCTGATGGCCAATCGCCCTTTTTCCCAGCTGTGCCACGCTACTCACCAGGTCTCACGGTTAAAACGGTCCCCCGGCCAAACGTCAGCTTGCCCGCACCAACTTTCACACCGTGCTCTAGGAGCTAACAAAAACTAGCAGCGCTTCCCCCCAGTTCCAGTAACTTGCTGGGCTCTTGCAAAGGGGCCAGCGTGTTGGCCGTCCCTGGAGCGTGAAAGGTCCGAACGTCTAACGTATTTATGCAGAGGGATGGACAGAACCAGTGTCTGTAGCAAGCCCTGCCGAAGTAGCACCAAGAATACCAAGGGGAACTACATTGTTTCCAAAGAACCCAAGTGCTTTTGGACCTTTGGAAAGGGAGGTTTAAAACATTTAAACACCAAAAACATCAGCAGTGTTTGGAGAGGAAAAAATATATATATACACATTGCAGACGCACAACTGTTTCATCTAAACCCAGGGAGAGTATCCGGCGCTTTACAGAAAGCAGGTTTTGAAGCATCTTTGAAACATTAGAGCCATAGGCCCCTAACTCTCACAGGCACTTCTTGCGAATGCTGTTGCACGACTTCACTGCAGCCCCCTGAACAACTCTGGCTAAGACTGCGCCAGGCTTCCAAAGGTATCTGGAGTGTTGTTATCTACAAGGCACATGCCCATCTGGAGTGAAGGGAGTGAGCACTGTGTGAAGTGAGTGAAGGCAGAGAGTGCAGGCAGAGAGTCATTGCAAGCAGCTGAGGTGCTGTGACATACCTGACAGGAGGCCAAGGCAGCGGGGCATGCCGCTAAATCAAGTCCCAAGAGCCTCTGGAGAACTTCACAGTTCAGTTCCCAAGCTTCTTCCCCACAAGACAATAAGGAAAAAGAGAACGAGGAAGCAATTCCACTTCCCAGGGCAGTCGCCTACTCACCAGCTCTGACTGAAAGCACAGTCCCCTTTCCAAAAGTCACTCTCTCTGCTCCATACACACTCTGACACAGCTCACTGCAAAAATGCCTCTGTCAGCCCTGCGCATGATCTCGCGCAAGACGTGCCAGGATTCAAGGCACTGCACAGCTGTCTGACTACAGGCTCCAATCTCACCCACAGCAACAGCGACGTGGAACTGAGAAGACCGTGCATGTGAAAGGTCTGCTTAAGTGCACCCAGGTCCATGGGAAATGTCACAAGTTTGGGCATCTATGGGCTTCAGAGGCAGCTTTCCAATGACCTGTGCCCAGCAGAGGTAGGCATGTCCAGACGGTAGCTTGTCAGCTGGTCGGGAAAAGCTGTGAAAAGGGCGTTTGGTCATAAAACATGCCCGATTTTAGAAGGGGGAGGGGGGAAACTGCCAAGGCAAAGCAGACTCCTGGTAACCCCCTTTTGCTTTGGAATGCAAAGTGGCGGCTTAATGCCAGTACTCCCTGGGTGTTGCAGCTAATGATGTTCCTTCCCCTAGTGTCGTCTTTCCACTCACCGCATTGGACCTGCAGTGTTTTATCCTCCCTCAGAAAGCCCAGACTCAGTTCAGGCCTTCCACCCATCTAAAGCTGTCCACATCCACAAAGCAACCACCCCCGCTTACGGCCAGAGCTCCTAAGGAAGCCAGCTTGCCCGCACCAACTTTCACACCGTGCTCTAGGAGCTAACAAAAACTAGCAGCGCTTCCCCCCAGTTCCAGTAACTTGCTGGGCTCTTGCAAAGGGGCCAGCGTGTTGGCCGTCCCTGGAGCGTGAAAGGTCCGAACGTCTAACGTATTTATGCAGAGGGATGGACAGAACCAGTGTCTGTAGCAAGCCCTGCCGAAGTAGCACCAAGAATACCAAGGGGAACTACATTGTTTCCAAAGAACCCAAGTGCTTTTGGACCTTTGGAAAGGGAGGTTTAAAACATTTAAACACCAAAAACATCAGCAGTGTTTGGAGAGGAAAAAATATATATATACACATTGCAGACGCACAACTGTTTCATCTAAACCCAGGGAGAGTATCCGGCGCTTTACAGAAAGCAGGTTTTGAAGCATCTTTGAAACATTAGAGCCATAGGCCCCTAACTCTCACAGGCACTTCTTGCGAATGCTGTTGCACGACTTCACTGCAGCCCCCTGAACAACTCTGGCTAAGACTGCGCCAGGCTTCCAAAGGTATCTGGAGTGTTGTTATCTACAAGGCACATGCCCATCTGGAGTGAAGGGAGTGAGCACTGTGTGAAGTGAGTGAAGGCAGAGAGTGCAGGCAGAGAGTCATTGCAAGCAGCTGAGGTGCTGTGACATACCTGACAGGAGGCCAAGGCAGCGGGGCATGCCGCTAAATCAAGTCCCAAGAGCCTCTGGAGAACTTCACAGTTCAGTTCCCAAGCTTCTTCCCCACAAGACAATAAGGAAAAAGAGAACGAGGAAGCAATTCCACTTCCCAGGGCAGTCGCCTACTCACCAGCTCTGACTGAAAGCACAGTCCCCTTTCCAAAAGTCACTCTCTCTGCTCCATACACACTCTGACACAGCTCACTGCAAAAATGCCTCTGTCAGCCCTGCGCATGATCTCGCGCAAGACGTGCCAGGATTCAAGGCACTGCACAGCTGTCTGACTACAGGCTCCAATCTCACCCACAGCAACAGCGACGTGGAACTGAGAAGACCGTGCATGTGAAAGGTCTGCTTAAGTGCACCCAGGTCCATGGGAAATGTCACAAGTTTGGGCATCTATGGGCTTCAGAGGCAGCTTTCCAATGACCTGTGCCCAGCAGAGGTAGGCATGTCCAGACGGTAGCTTGTCAGCTGGTCGGGAAAAGCTGTGAAAAGGGCGTTTGGTCATAAAACATGCCCGATTTTAGAAGGGGGAGGGGGGAAACTGCCAAGGCAAAGCAGACTCCTGGTAACCCCCTTTTGCTTTGGAATGCAAAGTGGCGGCTTAATGCCAGTACTCCCTGGGTGTTGCAGCTAATGATGTTCCTTCCCCTAGTGTCGTCTTTCCACTCACCGCATTGGACCTGCAGTGTTTTATCCTCCCTCAGAAAGCCCAGACTCAGTTCAGGCCTTCCACCCATCTAAAGCTGTCCACATCCACAAAGCAACCACCCCCGCTTACGGCCAGAGCTCCTAAGGAAGCCAGTAAAGCGGGGAGAGATGCACACAGACAGCACATAGCAACGTCGCTGCAACCAGGGCAAAAGGGAAAGTGCTGCAACATACCCAACTGAACTAACAGCTTTGCCACCATCCCAAACAGCAGTTTTCGTGCAGTGCCCCTCTTGGCACTGTGCTGCGGAGCTCAACGATAAAGTGCTGCTTCTGCTCCTCGGAAAGACCCCTGAAAGTCTCTGAGGCCTGGAAAACGGAGCCAGGGATGACAAGGTCTCCCTTTCCTCACCTGCTACAGCCGGCAGCACAGTCCAAGCTGGCCGTGGGATTTAGCCCCGGGGGGGCTAAAGCACGGATGTTTAGCGAGGAAGAAAACGACAGGAGTCAGACACTGAACTGAGGGAGTGCAGAGGGTGGCGCAGAGACGGAAAAGACACTGCCCCCATACTCACTGGGTCTGATAACTAGCACGGTCCCTCTCCCAAAGGTGAACTGTCTGCTGTCACGCACAGTGTTTCAAACAGTGTCAGAAACCTCCTGCTCTCACAGCTGCTCCTCAGATTTCTCTGTTTGCTCTTAAGCTGGCTAAAGTGGAAAGACATCAGAAGGTCTGAGGATAAAACGGAGAAGCAGGAGAGGCAAACATACTTGGATGAACGTGCAACCGCGTCCCTGGCCCAAACTGGGCTTTTGCCGCGTTGCTGTTCCACAGTGGTACACGCCCTAACAAGAAATCACCCACGATCAGCCCGCTCCTGAAACCCCTCCTTGCTCATTTTGCAAGGAGTGAGATGAACTCCTTAGACAGGAGACGGGATTTGCATCAGAAACTACATCACAGAGAGGAAGGATAGGTGAAAGCCAGAGATTAACTTCTCCAGCTCCTTTGAGAAAACCAGTCGTTCACTGGCACAGGGATTTTTCAGACTCACCGGCAGAATGGCCGGGTCTTGCGTTGGTCTCAGAAACCAAAAAGAGCGTTCTTTCCCTCGCTTCCCCAGTTCAACCAGAAAACAAGGCTTTCACTGAGAGCACAAGGGTTTGGTTTGGTTTGCTTTTCTTTCTTGTGTCTGTTTCCTTTCCTGCTCCTGCAGCACGCGTGTTGGGAAATAACCGTCAGATGATATTGCAGCATGCAACCATTAACCCACTTACTTGGCAAGATGATCGCTTTAGTCCCTGAGCCAAAGATGAATTTGCGGAAGTTCTCACAACAGCGTAGCACCTTACAGAAACTTAGCTCCCAGCTGGCGACACTTTCACTGGTCTGGCTGTACTGGATGTCCCCTCCTTTACACTCTGGGCAAGCGGGATCCACAGGTTCAAAGGGAAACCTGCTGCCTTTCTGCTAATTGGATTTGCGGTGGGCAATTTCACTTGCTTGGCTTTACGGAGACGCCTTCTACTTCTGACAATCAGTTCATCCGCGATTCAGTCCTCCATACAAACATTCAGGCCTAAGACTTCCTCCCTTTCCCTTCAACAGCCACACCTTATCCAGGCTGGAAACAATTATTCTGCATCTGACTTTGTTCAGGGAAAACAATAAGATTCAGAAGAAGACTAAAGAATAAGAATTAAGAATAAGAACACACATAACTTTTAAGCTAGCACATCAAGAAACATTTAAAACAAAGCGTACTCTGAGCCTTGCCCAAACTGCACAAAAATTGCAGCGGAGGAACCAGAACTGAACCCACATTACGAATCCCCCCCCCCCCCCCACCCTCCCCCCCCCCCCCCCCACCCATGGAAAAAAGTAGCGCG